GGTCATATTCGACAGAACAGAAGTAAGCAAACTCTTGAAAATTAAAATATTATTTTACCGCCAACAAAATTAATAATACTACCAGCACAGAGGCCAATTACAAAGTTAGCACGAGTACATAGAAATACACAAAAATAATTAAAAATCAAAATACCAAATATGACAGTCTACATAATGGCAATAAGTTAATAGTAATTCCAAGAATAATTGAAGTTAGCTTTAACAGGCGAAAAAAATAAAATAAGTGCATTTCCAGTAGTTTTGCCATTTGTGGCGAGAAAGGACAATACATGTACATACACACATAGGAGTTAATAATAATAATAATAATAATAATAACTTTGTAACATTTAAAATTGACGGAAGTAAAAATGTTTTACTTGTTTAGGACTCTATTTTATGGTCATCTACACACCATCCCTCAAACCAGATTGCATTTCATTATTTGGTTGTGCATGTAAATCATTTAAATGGTCTTTCATATTAGCAACGCGAAGTGTTAGGACTTTAAGTTTTTGGGATATGAAAACGGTTTTATTACTCCTACTCAGAATGTATTGTAATTCATGTAATATGATGTAAATAGAATAAATTTAAATGGTCCTTCAAACAGTGCATTTGGAGCTCACGTGCTTTGTACAGAACGGTGGGTTCCCTGTCACAGTGACGACAAAGGAGACACTAGAACACCAAACGTGTTTAAAAGATGTTAGTAGGAAAAGCTGAATGACATCCCTCTGAGGGTGATACGGCGAATTCTGTACTGCCATAGATAGAGTTTATTGCATAAATGTTGCTCAGTGTACAGCTCTGTATCTTGCCATATATATTTCATTCTACAAAGAGACCAGATATAGAACGAAAATCGTCAATTACAAGTCCATATCGACGTTTCCCATTCTCTTCCACAGGAAAAGACACTCAACGATTTCCGTTCTGCTTCCAACTTCCGACCTTGAAACAGAACATAAAAAAGAAACTGAAATCACTTTGATTATAAACGTAATCGATTGTAGTCGAACAGGTTTGTGTAACTGTAATTCTGCAAACTTGTATCTGAGAGACGTTGTTTAAATCTCGGCCGAGACACAATTTATGACTGAGTTTTTCTTGTTTCCCCCGTTCTAACATGTAAATACCGGGATAGTACGTATTCTGATTACACTGCTGCTGCTTCCTCCTAAACACTTTTTCATTTCATTAGTCACCTGTCATCCTAATATTTCGGGGAGCCGGGATAGCGTAGTCAGCATAGCGACTGGCTACGGGCTGGACGACTTAGAGGTCGGAGTTCGAGTCCCGGTAGGGTCAAGAATTTTCTATTCTACACGTTGTCCACATCGATTCTAGGGCACACCGAGCACTCTATACAATGGATACCCGAGGTTCTTTCCCCGGGGGTAAAGCGGCAGGGTCATGAAACTGACCACTCACCCCAGCTAATGCCGAGGTCAAGAAAATGTTGGTCTATACATCCATTCCCCCATACGCTTTTAGGACTTAGTGCTTAATTAGTTAAGCACAGGGAAGGGCCGCGCCATAGCTCAAGCGGTTAGTCGCTGGCTTCCGACCGCGGCGACCCGGGTTCGATCCGGGTCTGGTCAAGTGGGATTTGTAGTGGACAAAGTGGCGCTGGTGCAGGTTTTCTCCGAGTACTTCGGTTTCCCCTGCCAATCTTCATTCCACCAATTTCCCCATAATCACCCTCACCTATCATCTGTGGTTGGTACAATAGGCCAGAAGTGGCCGCAGTACAAGGGACTTAGTCCCACCCCACTAGCATTAAAAAAATAAGCACGGGGACAACTTTACTTTTTACCATCCTAATATTTTACGCTGTGTAATCTGATATTTTGACGTCTCAGAATTAAATGGCCAGAAGGAAGAATAACCGAGTGTAAGCTTGCATCATGGTGGCAGGATAACGCCATCTCTGCCTCACAGCCTAAACCCAGCTTATAAAAACGGGTTAGATATGAAAGGATGCTTTAGTAGGTAGAACTGTTGCATCTTCGGATTCTGGATTCAGTCACTGCGTATCACAGATCGTTGCTGAGGCGCTGGTCGTTCTGAAGCAGCCCAGAGATGAATTTATTGTATACGAATCGGCTGGAAGAGGAAAGGACAATGAAATCCTCCTGTATTACTGGTAGTCCAATCCTACTAAACTGATTGACGTCCAAATAAACAGAAAAATGGCAGACATCATGGATTTGCTGAAAGAAGATTTAGATCAATTTACCGTTGAGGAGTGGAGAAAAAGAAATTCTTTATAAAGCACAACTACAAGAAGAGCATGTAAGAAAGGGGATTACGATCTTCTGTGATGTGACAGTGCATTTTGTTAAATAGGCACCAACGTTGCGAGGCAACGTCCTGCCCACAAAGTCGGAGTGAAATGGAGACAGTAGGTTCCTCCGAAACGTTGATATCCATCTGTAAAACGTGACAGAAGGCTGTAATATTAATACTTACTGAGAACCCGAGTTCTCACATCAAGGAAACTGGAAATTAAACTTATCACTGTGATCTCAACGGTGAGATGTCGAGAGAGCGATGTTGTATGAAATGATGAAGTGGAACTTGATCTAAAAATTGTTGAGATTTCCGAGTCTTTCTTTTGCTGGTAACTCCCCATGAACTAGCACGGTTCGAATGGTGGTAGGCCTGCTCTATAATGCAGTGCACGAAATTACAAACGGCATTCTTTGAAACGTGTTAAGCTTACTTAAGAATTCATTCATTCATCAGTAATCTGTCAAGACGACAGGTCCACAGTCTCTTCCAAAACAATTCCTCCACTTAATGCGATCTAGAGCTTTCTCCTTCAAATGACAGTATCCTCTTCTGTCCCCAAGGTCATCCAGCATCTTCTTACGTCTTCTTCCTCGTCTTCTGGTCACTTCTATCCGCCCCTCTATCTTTCCTTCAATAACTTCTTTTAGAAGGCAGTTACTGCGTAAGATATGACCAATCCAATTAGCCTTCCGTTTTCTTATTTCGTGTAGGATATTCCTCTGCTCACTGACTCTAAATAACACGTCTTCATTTCTCACATAATCGGTCCAACTGATCTTCTCCATCCTTCTGCAACACCACATTTCGAAGCTTACCAGGTGTTTCTGATCTACTGCCCTAAGTGTCCATGTTTCAGCCCCATACAAAGCCATGCTTCTTTCGGTCCTGATTTCGCTCCAAGCGACTACCACCTGTTTACCTACCTGAAGAACTGGTTGAGATCACAAAACTTCAACAATAATGAGGAGTTAATGGAAGGTGTCAAAACGTGGCTGAGCTCACAGGCGGCAGACTTCTTTGACACAGGCATAAAAAGCTTATTCCCCGATAGTACAAATCCTTCAGTTCCGGCGGGGACTACGTTGAGAAGTAGCTGAAATATGTACATATTTTTTGTACACTATATTCTTTTTCTCGTCATTTCTTTTGTTAACAGCTCACCGGAATTTACTCTCAGAATAGCCCTCGTACGATAGGAATTTCGTGCAGGAGTTGAATTGAAACCATTCCTTCTTTAACCCCAGTGATACCTTGCAACGATATAACATATTCTCCAGTCTTGTAACTTTTCCAATATGATTACACTTAGACGCTGATGGCATTAATTACGGTGAAGGAAGTAATCAGGAACATTTAAGTTAATTATAATTGACTGCAATCTGCTGATTACAAACTACGACAGAAGTTGCAAAACTCAAGTCCGCACACCATCATCTTGACATTAACAAATACGTATGAAGACACATTCATCCCTAAAGAAGTCGGCATTTATAATAAACTTTGGATATACTACCACGTGTATTAGTGACTAAAGACGGGGTTCGGATTGGCAACTGCATTTATTAACCACCTACAGGAAGCGGCCTCCGTAGTCTAGAGGTAACGTTCCGACCTCATGACTCGTGGTACGCGGGTTCAAATACCCGGTGGAGGTCGTCGAATTTTTAAGGGCGGAAAAATTCAGGGAACAAGTCCTCTGGGCGGGACTGATGGTAAGCACCAATACCGGCAGGATATAGAGGCTGGTAGAAATCATAGAGGGAAGCACAATGGACCACTACAGGTCTAAGTGCATGGGGAAACCCACCCTCTCTAATAACTAACTAACTAACTAACTAACCAACCACCTACAGGTCATAACTACAAATAATTATTACACTGTTGCTGATTTATATAATTTACAATCACTCCACACTAATCTTCTCAGTATATTTCCGCTAGTTTTCACTATCCTATTCCTGGCAACGGATTTACAACAAAGGAACTATAAAAATCTCACTAAATTGCACACTCCCAATATCGGAATGGTCGCGGAGGTATATCGGCTGACACACACCTTTCAGAGGAAGAACTCTGCATTGCAGATTTGGAGAGTGGACGTCAGTTTTGAACAATACTGAAAACATTTGCCTTCGGTGTGGTATATTTCAGACTTCCGAAGGATTCGTTTGTTTAATGGTTTATTGAACTGTAGATCTGTCAAATTCGTAAGTTTTATAGAGTTCAAGCGAAGAAACAATAATCGTTTAAGTACTAGGTTACGGGCTGGACAACCGAGGAATCGGGACTCGAACCCTGGCAGGAGAAAGAGAGTTTCCTCCCTTCTTTATGGTATATGTCGGTTCATGTGCCAGCCCAGTCTTCTATGCAATGGGTACCGAGGAATTTTTCTTTGGGTGTAAAGTGGCAAAATCGAGAAGCTGACCAGTCACTGCTGTTTACTGCCGAGGTTAAGAATGGTGGAGCTATACCTCCATTCTCCCCTATGTTTTCATGGCATGATGTTTAATTAATTAAGCATATGAATAAATTTACCCTACCTTTAACTTAGAGATTAATATAGACACCTCCAGTACTAAGTTTAATCGAAATCTTTTCAGTAGTTTCTTGTTGAATCATATGAGCTCTGTAGTATGGGTTATGTTGTGCACTTACTACAAGAAACGTATGGAAACCATGAGTTTGTTTCTTCTGTTCTGCAGCTGTGGCTGACTGTAGCCGAGAAGCATCTACAGTCGCGGGGTGTAGACTGGGGTCACGCGGAGAGGTTCTGCTTCAACGAATGGAGCAATCCGGACGACGATGAGCTGGGCGTGCAGATTGTCAAGGTGAGTCGTTTTTTGCTGCTGAGAATCTGCGAAGCGTTCTTTCAGAAACGAACGTTGCCACCGAGCGATTAGGAATCCTGTTTCGTGTTCGAGAAGTTCCGGAGACCGGTTATGGTGACAGGTTACTTTGTGATTTTCCGCAGTTCCTCCAGGCAATTGACGGAAGAGCGCCACAAGCAGGCAACAATTGCTTTCTTCCACATCCTTTAAACTTTATGATTCGCTGCTCATCACAGTATTCTACGCTATGTGGTCTGAGCTACTAACAGCTTCTTTAAATAAATGAATAAACATCTTTCAGGGAGTTTTTGATGTTTTGTTGATTTTCATTGGCGGTGATTCGAAAATGGGTGACCGATATTGTGAACAATGACTCATGTGCCTAAACAAGAATATAATGTATGTAATGTAACGCCTTGTAGTAGGTAGGTATCAGCTTTTTGGAAGAACATGCTACCTCCATCTTCAGAATTTAAATACTGAGGTAACAATTTCTTCCGTAAAACTCATATATGTACCAGAATGCCTCGGTCTTAATATTCACTCAGATCTCAATTCATCATGCATTCTTCTATACGTACATACATAGGTTGGATAAAAAGTAGTGGCAGCGCCTCTATAGTTCTGAAATGACTTTATTAGCTGAGGTAAAGACACTTACATTCCTTCAATATAATCGCCCCTCATGTGTTCCACCTTCTGCCAAATTTGTGGAAGGCGTCGTACACCATCAGTGCGCCCACTTCTGTTGATGTCCAGCAGTGACCTCCCTACAGCACGAATAATCTCCCCTCTTATGTTGTAACGTAACCCTCGCAGTGGTTCTTTCATTTTGGAAAAGATACCATAAACACACGGACTCATATCGGGTGAGTTTCGCGGATGTTGCAGTGTCTCCCATCGCCAGCGGCGAAGAAGCATCAGCAGTATGAGCCCTTGCATTGTCATGAAGGATGATGGGGTTCGTTGCCAACAAGTCTCGTCGCTTTCTCCTGAGTGCTGGACGAAGACGATTACGCAGGAAATTGCAGTAGTAGGCAGCGTTTCTGTCGTTGAGGTACAGTGTGGTGCAGTATCACTCCATCAATGTCATATGCCACAATGAACATTGCCTTCACACTACTTTGTGTAGGACGCACTTTCTTTGGACGATGAGAGCCAGGATGCTTCCATTCATTTGATTCTGGCTTCAAGTGCGGTTCGTGTGAGCGAGCCCAAGTTTCGTCCAGAGTGACGATCCTTCCAAGAAAGTCGTCACCTTCCTTCTGGTACCGGTCCAACAAGTCCTGTGCAATTGCATAACGTTACCATTGTTGCACCTCGGACATTGTATGGGGTTTAATTGTTTCTTGCATTCTGTTGTGTATTTAATCAATATTAGAGTCAATTTTACAGACCGCACAACATATTTTTATTATTATTACACTATATGTTTCGACCTCAAGAGGTCATCCTCAGGTGTACGAACACAGCTGTATAATTACACGCAATCACATTCGTCTTCTCACTTATTCGATCCTGTATCTTATTCAGGCCCACGCTCAATAATATATCAAGCTCCTCTCACAAAACACAAGTTAAAATATTGTTCTAAATGTCAAAAGTTAAAATTTAAATTTAAAATTTAAAAATTTGTGAATCGAATTTCAGTTCAGATCACTAGTTATGCTTTCACTTTCACTTGTTATTCAGTCACTTCCTACTTACTTTCATCACTGCGTCAAGTTCACTTTAACTAGTTTAATTATATTATTGGTTAAAAGTTCATGAATTAAAGTTCAATGGCTACTCAGTAGCCATCACGACAAGGACCGTAACAGATCTGGATCTGTTACATCAGAGGACGCGGAAGAACAGCGAGACCTCCAAAAAGTGAAAAATGCAATCAATATAATAAAATGGAACTTTAATTAATAAACTTTTAACCAATAATATAATTAAAGTAGTTAAAGTGAACTTGACGCAGTGATGAACGTAAGTAGGAAGTGACTGAATACAAGTGAAAGTGAAAGCATAACTAATGACCTGAATTGAAATTCGATTCACAAATTTTTAAATCTTAAATTTAAATTTTAACTTTTGACATTTAGAACAATATTTTAACTTGTATTTTGTGAGAGGAGCTTGATATATTATTGAGCGTGGGCCTGAATAAGATACAGGATCGAATAAGTGAGAAGACGAATGTGATTGCGTGTAATTATACAGCTGTGTTCGTACACCTGAGGATGACCTCTTGAGGTCGAAACATGTAGTGTAATAATAATAATAAAAATATGTTGTGTGGTCGGTAAAATTGACTCTAATATTGTATGGGGTACCCAAACGCGTTGCAATTTTGCGGTATCCAAGAATATCGTGCAGAATGTGGAGCACGGTTTTGTGACATACGCCTACCTCAGCAGCTAACTCCCGCCCAGCCCATCGACGATCGACATCCAGCAAAGAAGCAAGAAGCTGAATTGTGTGGTTGTCAACATGGGGCTGTCCTGAACGGCATCCCTCCCTTCACGGAACAATTTCACCCATCGTGCCACTGTGATATGGCAAAGCAGCATCACCACATGCTTCTCGTAGTCCATGATAACAGTTTTGTGCACTATGACCTCGTGCAACTTCAGTTTTTATCCAGGAGCGTTGTTCTTGTTTCGTAAACATGTTGTTAGGGCGCTTGAACTGGGCTTCTGCACTTCAAGACGATGCACAATGCAACTCAATGAAACACAACCAGAGCCACTCACTGCACTACTTCAACTGAACTTCTGCTATCAGCTACAGACGGCGCTAGTGCCACCTGACGTACATCTTTCATGTTACAGCAGTGTTGCCACTACTTTTTTCCAACCCTTGTATATTGTTATATATTATATTGTCATGTGTAGGAGCGACTATAGGCGGAGTTTGCATTGGTGAATAGATTTATTGACCACTTACAGGTGGCAACAACAAATAATTATTACATTAATTGCTGAGTTACACAACTTACAATCACTCCACATTAATGTTCTCAGTCTGTTTCCACCAGCCTTCACTATCCGTTTCCTGGCAACGGATTTATAACACAGGAACTATAAAAGTCTCATTAAATTACACACTCCCAATATCGATGTACTACAGCGCATGTGACGTCACACACTAAGTCTTCTAATTCTTCTTCTGGCCAAACTGCTGTTCCCTTGGAACTTCGGAAATCAGGTCAAGTCAATTTCCAATCCCGTATAATCTTATATAGGCCGCGCCATAGCTCAAGCGGTTAGTCTCTGGCTTCCCACCGAGGCGGCCCGGTTTCGATCCCGGGTCTGGTAAAGTGGAATTTGTGGTGGACAAAGTGGCACTGGGGCGGGTTTTCTCCGAGTACTTCGGTTTCCCCTGCCAATCTTCATTCCACCTATCACCCTCACCTATCATCTGGGGCTGGTACAATAGGCCAGAAGTGGCCGCAGTACAAGGGATTTAGTCCCACCCCACTAGCAATAAAAAAAATAATCTTTATACATTTAGGCACGGACCACGCACAATATTCAAGCACAAAGTAATATGTCAACCACCACGCTCTGGAGGGTTAAAGGCTGTAATTAGAAATCGATAACCTTAGTCATCACCTACGTATAGCTCTATAGCTAATATCGCAGCAAAGTCAGTATGACTTGTAGTAGTCAAAAATGTTGGCTATATATTTTTTTATCCGTTCCTCTTATACCCTTATACGGGTGTCGAAGTTTTCTTTTAATCATTTCACAGACGGCAGGGCTCCTTGGACGAGCGATTGGAACGTCACAAGACCGCTACCTAAACACAGGACAACATAAACACAGAAAAACGCATACACACACCAAACATCCATGACCTGAGTGGAGTTCGAACCTACTATCCCGGATTCCGAGCCAGCGAAGACAGTTCATGCCTTAGAGCGCTCGGTTACCGTGACCGGCCGGCTATATAATCACTTATCAATATAATCAGCAATTTATTTGATATTGATTTGAGTATTTGCAAGAAAAGAGAAAGAGATGTTATTCGACATGATGAACAATAATTCGCTCACTGATAAAAATACACGTATGTGTGTTTGTTTCTCCGATTCGGTTCAAGAGACTTTTTTATAATGTAAATAAATTGAGTATTCCGGTGGCGCTGGGGCGAGTTTTCTCCGAGTACTTCGGTTTCCCTAGCCAATCTTCATTCCACCAAATTCTCCATTATCATAATCACTCGGGGCAGGCTACAATAGGCCAATCAGTGGCCGTCGTGCTGAGTGGGCTCAGTTGGACTCCCCCCCCCCCCCCCGGGCTAAAAAAAGC